GTATTTTTAAAGTCTTTATTTTACAGTTAAAATATATGTTTATCAAATAAAGTCTCATGTTACAACTAATCGGGGATCCCTTTAATTTCTGTTTAAATTTATAACTTGTAATTTGGATTTTCCCACTTCCCACTGCAACTGGGCTGCAGCAGCCAACAAAAATGCAGTGAAACAGAGATTTTAGACGCAGGTTTTGCCCGACTCCTTTTGAACCCTGTGCACCTGCCGTCAGTTTGTGAGTAAAATAATCGACACGCTTTATGGGAGACGTAGTTTATGGTCAATGCTGGCTTTAAGGCAGCTTATTTTAAGACATTAACACATCTTTGAAGCTCTCGCGGGCCACATAAAATGCAGTGGAGGGCCACATTTGGCCCACGGGCCTTGATGTTYGACACACGCGGGCTAAAGGACAGGCTGAGCAGTCTGAGCTAACACCATGTGTATCCTTACAGAGCCAGTCACATTTTGTGGTTCAGATGTTTCTTCAGCTGCTGTATCCACCACACAGTAATGTGGCGTTTATGCACCTACTTCCAACAAACACCAGAACATGTACTTTAGTTGGTGAGGTACAGTAATTTAGGTCACCATAAAAGAAAAAAAAGAAGAAAAAAAAACATCAAGAATAGCAGCACAGGAAGAATTCATTTCCTGCTCTGGTATCACTTTTTGTGCTTTGATTCAAAGCAAAACACACACAGGTAAAAAACACAGCTTCCCCCTCCCCTTTGACTGCAGCAAGGGGGCCCCTGTGYTCTGCATACTTTAATAACTCAAGTCACATGCTCCCAAACTCCAGGGAAAGCAGTGCAATACTTAATTACAGCCAGTCAAACTGGAGTCAGACTGTTAGACCTGCGCAGCTCTCATGGGTCCTGACAGCAGAGAGGACTCTGAGGAATCACTGGATAATTCTTTTAAGAGTTTGGCTGTAACTTACCTTCTAAAAAATGTGAGSTTTTACTATATTTTTGTACTGAATCGTCCACATTTATAGCATTACTTCACTGCAAATTRTTTGATTTATGTGATTTATTATGAAATATAATTATTTTTTAGCATATAAAGCAGAAAAAAAGGAATCACTCGAGTATGGATTGCAGCATTTCGGCCGGTGCGATGATAAACAACTCTTCAAAGCAGCTATTGGACGCTGAGTTTGTCGCGCTAAATCAGGTCTGTAATTGAAATCATATTGGGTTGGCATTAAACTCTACGTGCAGCATTTCCRAAGAGCACCTTTTAACATCCGACATTTATTTATCAGCACCAGAACATCTTGTGGGTTGCCGGGTGGTTAAATACGCCACACCGCAACAAAACGCAAATAACAAAGTTTATTTCTGTTCATGGCTCGGCTGAGCTTTATGCTAAGGTAACATCTGTTTCTATTAAGTCCTGAAAAATCATTCATGTGCCAAACAAACTAAACGCTTCAGCATTTCAAACAATAAGCATCTTTAGAACCGATTTAGACACGGCTGATTATAAAGTAAATGAGCTTTTGGAGCTGGGAAGAAAGGCGGATAGACAAGAACGCTTAAAAAAAAAATCAGCATTTTTGGCTCCATAAAAAACTGAAATAAAAACAATTAGCACTAGAAAAGGTTTGATTACAACAAAAATAGAAAAATAGAATTTGAACGTTTGCTAAAGTTTGATGAAGGTGACACTGTGATGTCAAAGCTAAAAGAAGCAGAATGCTAGCTAAAAGTTAAAAACAGCATAGCTGCAAATGAATAGCAACAAAATACCAGCTAAAAGCTGAAAGTACAGGTTAACGCTAGCAAAAGAAAGCTAAAARTAACAGAACAGAAGCTAAAGCATAAGGCGACCCAAAACTTTGAACTATTTTTGTTAAGCTACATCTGAAATCAAAAGTACCAAAACAAACCTGAAAATACTTTTGTTCAAAATCTATAAACATGTTTTTTTTTAAATTAAGAAAGATCTTGAAAGAATTTTGATTAGAAAGAAAAACACAATGTCTTTTAAATCTGTTTAATGTCTTTTGTTGCTTATCTTTCCTAAACTTGTCTGTTTTATCCCAATTCAGTTAATTTATATTTCATTTGTCTAAGGGCAGTCTTGACCAAGCCTTATATACTTTGCACAAAACGTAGGGTACATTTGTGTTTGGTAGATTATTTCTTTGTTGTAACCAGTGGCGGATCTAGAATTTTTCTGGTTGGGGGCCATTAAGATTTGTGCTGGACTTTCCTTTTGACTCATTAGCACCTCTAGTGTTTGAACATGGAACTGCATCCACTAACATCGCTCAGGCAAAGAACAGCAAAAAAAAAAAAAAGCTGTTTGGCAGAGAAGAGTTACCCACCTACTCAGCTCTACTGCTCATTCCACAAATGTGTGTTCCTTACAAATCTGGCACCATTTAAAAGTAAAATTAACAGACTTTCTAACAGTATAAGATTTATTGCCAAGAATCATTGTTACAGCTGCAGCATAAAAACACAAAGGACTGACCAGGTATCGCTCATCATCCTTCATCCCTGGAGTTCGGATCAGGTGGTTCTGCTCCCCCCTCCAGTCGCCRAAGCGACGGAAGAAATAGTTGGAGAGGAACCGGTTTATGGGGTCACGGATAATGTTGATATAAACAGGCTGGTTTATTCTGAACCTGACAAGAAAATAAARCAAAGYRGATTTTGAAAAACTGCAAACATTAAGAAACCAAATGATTGATAAGTTTCTGTATACCATTGCACCACTGAACCATCGTACCTGGTAAAGTTGAGGAAGTGAACATGTCGTGTGTAGAGAAATGGTTGAGGGATCTGACTGATGTTCTTCATCAGATCCATCTGTGGAGAAAAACACAAAACCATTGGTTTAGACAACCTGACAAGTGAAACTGAACACATTTTAGACTAAAACTCCTGATTAATGAGAAAATAAACCAACAAACCCATTCTTGCATTATACCATTATTCACATTAAACCAATAGTTTAAATTATCAGAGGTTGAATAATTAAACTTTAAACACAAGTAAAACCCAGTTTGGCCATAACATTGCATCAGCCGTGGTTTTAAAATATATCTTGATGAAACTAGATCACTTTCATTCCAGTAAAAAAAAAGTCACGCAAATGCAATATTTTCTTCTATTGCAACATCCATTCCTAAATTCCTCTATCTTGTGTTAATAACAAGAAGATTCACCTTTGAAAAGATGTAATTCAAGATGTTTTATCTTTTGAAGGACAAAAATGAAAGGGGGTTTCCAAGTCGTCATGAGGAAACAAGTGATAACGAGCCAAAATACACCATATCTACTTATGTCTGAATGCGGACAGTGCAGCTGCATACAACACCTTGCCTAAATACCTCCATATTGGAGCAACGTCACTTAATACTGTATATGATATAACTTATATCTCTGCACCAAAACTGAAGCAAAATAAAACTCTTACTTTTACTTTTAATAGTATTTCTGTATTACTTGTTTCACAATTAGTCAGTCATTCACGTAGTATTTTCCACCCACTTCGGATGTTATCATCCATTAAATGGACGTTATTAGCCATTATCAGTCCAATAGAATGGCTTCAGACTGTCCCAACTGTGCCGCCTAGTGGGTTAATATGAGACATAAAGCCACTAAGGTTAATTTTAGAGAAAATGACATGGGCTACGATAAAGTAGACCGGACTCTGGCGGTAGCAGATTGTTGCATTCCAACGTATATGGCACTATACAAGCATTATACAACGTATAACCCACTAGGGGGCACTGTCGGGACATTTTGAAGCCATTCTATGGGACTGATAACCGCTAATAACGTCCATTTAATGGACTGATAACATCTGAACCGGCTGGTATTTTCAGTGTTTAGAGGATATGTTAAAATGCTGTTTCTATGCACAAAATACCATGTAGAGCTCAGTTATTTGTTAGCTGRGCTCAGTTGTATAAATAAGATGAGGAACGTGATTTTGTGTTTAGTCTAAGTTTATTACAACTGGCCTTTTGAGGGCCACCACAATGCTCACGTGGCCCTCAGCGACACCTGTTTTAGGCCACGGATTTCAAATTTTGTCCATCGAGTTTAACTTACAGACTGACCTCACTGCAGTAAAACAATCAAATGTCAATGTTGTGATCATTTTGTGAAATGAATCGTTTTAGCCTTTAACATTTTTTGATTGTGCCTTTATATTCACAGGTCTACAAGAAATATGCATCTTGTTTTAACATTTACCAAACCTAGATCAGTTGTCCTAATAAAATATATTTTTCCATACTTTACAACTGTGTGAAATTTGCTTAAGCAGGCTCTCCTTGTTTTTTGTAACTTGTAAAAAAATTTGACGATTTTAGATCATTTCACGCAAAAATCGTGAAAATTCTTAGAGGTTCACGAACTGTCAAGCTGTGTGCGTGCTTAAAGAGAGCTGTAATGTAACTAATTATCAAGGTGATTCCTTGATAAGKTAAATATTTCCTCTTGGCGTGTTAGTTTTTGGATGAGAATCAGAAGTGCTGCAGTATTTTCCTTTTTAATGAGCCAGAACTCTTTCAATGAAGCGCTGATCTGGAACCAAACCTATTAGCTCCAAGGCAGAAAAAGAAAAAACTGAATGAATTATTTTCTCTGGGTTTAGAGAAACAAACAAACAAACAAAAAAAAAACTTAGCAAGATTGTTTTTAATAATTCTCTAGACTTTTCTACTGCAAATTAAGAGTCATGGGATAATTTCTCTATTTTGCTTGTCAATACTTCTTTGATACCTTTCTTTGCCAAAAGTCCTATATTGTATATCCAACTCTTATCTGAGCACCTGTTATGTCACAGCAGCACTGACTGGATARCAACGGCAAAATGTTGTTTATTTCCACAAGTCATATTAATAAAAGGCACCAGTCAGATTTAGGCTTCACACCCTCCCCTGATTTCTTTAAACCCAGTAGATTTCCACTCACTGTTTCCACCCTCCATGTATTTCTTCTACTAAAAAAATACAAAGCTTTCACTAAACATCCTTTGCTCACTAAAACATGTGTTCTGTAAAAAACAGGATAAAAATGATCATTTTGTTGTCCCCTGCCACGCCGATGATGTTCAGAGTGATTTTTGGCACATTTGGTGATTTTCTGAGTGTGTTTGTTGACCCACTCCCCTGTCTGTCTGGTCAGACTCATCATTTAGCAGGAAAAGCCACAGGGAGAACGCGAAGGATTCCAGTCATACCTGCACACCCCCCCTCCTCATTGAGCGCCCCCGGTGGTGTCCTCACACGGCTCATCAGAGGAAATAAATTAGGAGCTAAAACTGCAGAAAGCTTCCAGTCACTGCTACCCTAAATTCAGCATAACTTGGTTCATCTACACTTCATGAAAGTAAATACACTCACTGACAGAGTTTTGAAAACCATTTGACTGTGTTGCAATGATTGGCAGCATTTGGGCACACTAATGGGTCCATGTCAATAGGGTGTGTTAGAGTTATACAGTCATTGTATCATCTTTAGAACCATCCAGGGCTGTTAAAACTGTCTCTCAAGATACATCAGATGACATTCAAACAGATGTTTGAGCAAAGAAAGTGCATACTCGTGGCAGCTATCAGTAAGAGATGAAACTCTGTTACGACTTTTGGTTTGCCTTCTTAAAACTATCAATGGCCTCCATCTGGCACCCCTGATTCTGCAGCGCTAACACTAATTTTGTTTTTTTTTATAACCGTTTGAATTTAGAGAAAACAATGAGTTGCTAGTGTGCAGTGGCGGGCACAGCTAACCAAACAGTAAGCTCCATGGGACTGTCACAGACCTGTTGTTGGTTTTATAGGTTTAATGTGAAGGTGGGTGTAATCTCCTCTGGCAAATTGGCCGATCCAAACCAGAGTTAAAGCTCTGACTAACTTGTGTTTCCAAAGTTAACATAAAGGCTAATCTGCTAAATGAGAAGCTCTGCTATTAGCGGATTAGAAGAACTGTCCACCACTGGTGATACTATGGAAATTAATGTCCTGACATTTTAAGTGTCCAAAAGTACGGAGCCCGCGAGGGGACATGGGGAGATTTTTTTTCTTTTGCGTTACCTCGCAATACCTTTGTGTTCCCTTGCAATACCTTTGAGTTCCTTCACGTTCCCTCGCAATACCTTTCTGTTCCCTCGCAACACTTTTGCATTCCCTCGCAATACTTTTGCGTTCCCACGCAATACCTTTGCGTTCCCTCGCAATACCTTTGAGTTCCCTCGCAATACTTTTGAGTTCCCTCGCAATACCTTTACGTTCCCTCGCAATACCTTTCTGTTCCCTCGCAACACTTTTGCGTTCCCTCGCAATACCTTTACGTTCGCTCGCAATACTTTTGCGTTCCCACGCAATACCTTTGCGTTCCCTCGCAATACCTTTACGTTCGCTCGCAATACCTTTGTGTTCCCTCGCAATACTTTTGCGTTCCCTCGCAATACCTTTACGTTCGCTCGCAATACCTTTGTGTTCCCTCGCAATACCTTTGCATTCCCTCGCAATACTTTGGCGTTCCCTCGGCATACCTTCGCGTTCCCTCGCAATACCTTTGCGTTCCCTCGGCATACCTTCGCGTTCCCTCGCAACACCTTCGTGTTCCCTCGCAACACTTTTGTGTTCCCTCGCAATACTTTTGCGTTACCTTGCAATATTGTTTTGCGTTCCCACGCAAAAGTTTGATTTGTACATGAACTGAATTAAATCAGACATTTATTTTGAAATATCTCGTTACAAAAACAGGATGTGTCGCCACAAGTTCATGAAATTGACATTGAAGTTGTGTGGCTGCACTGTGTTAAAATATCGGCATATGACATACTTCCATGCATGGGTGTGTGATATATTCATTCTGAAGCTGAATTAAATCAGTAGGCTAACTCGCTAATGGTGAACATGTGAGTTTGTTAATAAACCAGCAGGCACAACAGTGTTTAACGTCTTTTGCGAGGCAATGCAAAAGGTATTGCGAGGTAACGCAATACTTTTGCGTGGGAACGTAAAAAGAAAAAAAAATCCCCCATGTCCCCTCGCGGGCTCAGTACATAAGCAACATGTTGATGAGAGGGCTGCTGTTTAATAATCACTACAGATTTATTGATAATTTTTGATAAGAAAGAGGAATAAGTTTTTTATTAACGCAAACACGTGCACAACATATCTTTGTCTTTCTAGAAGTTTTAATTGAGGCTTTATAATTGTTTGTTTTCTTTGAAGGTGTCTTACATTTTCCTCTCACTAAGTCTGCTCCCTGAATACTGTAAAGGAGGGATGTGTCTTCAAGTAAAGAAAAATCTACAAACTTTCTGACAGGTAAGACTCCATTACGCACAAGTTACTGACCCTGGGCAAACCAATTAACGCACCACTGAATGAGGCAGAAGGAAAAATGGTCCAAAGCCTGCAGTGCTGAGCCAGAACCACAGCTGACGAGACCAGGATCCCTAAACACAGGCGACGTGCAGCTGCATAAGTCAACACCTACTAAAGCACACAGGCAAATAAGCACACAATTAAGACCCATTTTACAGATTCTCACATAAACACAACCCTGTTAGGATACGACGATGTTCACACTTTTTCTGGCGAGCCTTTCTTTCACTTTTCATTGGTACAGTATGTTTTATGTGCAAAGATGTACCGACTGGTCAGGGTTTGATGAATGGGTAAACAAGTAACTGCTTCAATTTTGGCTTATGATTTACGTCAAATCTGTTGGTCAAAGCAGTATACATTTAGCCTCGCTGCACTGTTCAGAGAAATATCTAATCAATAGATTTAAGCGGTAGCAATATAACACGATGTGAATCATTCGATACTCCCACACAAACAAAAGGATAAGTTGCTCCCTCGTACGGAAAGTTCCCTACATACAGACAGTGCGCACGATTGACACAGTTCTGAGGGATCAAAAATCTGCTGTGTTTAAATCCCATTGAAAATTTTGAGTTATTTTATTTTATTTTTCTCATAGCGGGAATGTTAAGTTTCAGGCTCAGCTAAAATATGCTGAACAGGAACAAAGAAAAAATATTTCAAGTGTAACTAATTTCTGCTATTTTATGTTAATGAAAAGTAAGTAAAATAAAGTTTTATTTATATAGCGCCTTTCACAGAAATAAATTCACAAGGTGCTGTACATTCAGGGAAGGCGGGGGCAGTTAAGAAACACCCATTCAAGAAGACATACAAGGCAAACATGGGGGAACAGGTGAAACCGGTCATGTAGCAAACACAGTTGTGCTACCTTTAACAACAGAAAAACTAAAAACCACACAAGGGAAGATGAGAAAAACAAAACAAAACAAAACATCATATTATATCAACAATGTGACACACTATGGTGTTTATGAAAAAAACAACAACCTCTGCATAGAGCAAGTTTATTAGCCAGAGGAGTAAGTGAGTTTAGGGGGGCCCGAAGAATCCAGTCCCCTAAACCAGTGCAGCCATAGTTCAGAATATTGATGGTAACTGTTCATTCTGTGCGGCCTTCAGCCGTTGTAGGGGAGAGACACATCTGTAATCAGTTGTTTTGGGAACAGAAGAGTCAGGCAGACGATAACAATTTTCTATCTGCTTCAATGTCTGCTGGTACATCCAAGGTGGCGAATCCAATCGGACAAATAGTGTGGACAGTTCCGCCCAGCCAATCTATCCGCTTTCTCCAAGATCAATTCCATCTCGCCAGCAAGTCCAGGAACTACAGCCGGCCCGCGACCCTCAGCAGAACCGTTTGCGGACCGAGTCCAGCTCGCTCAAGGCAAATGTCCGTGCGCTGAATAGTACGGCCATCATCATATTGGTCAGGCAGCCAGGAAATGAGCAGTCACTGATGCTGTTTTGTAGAACACCAGGAGACCACCAGGCCAATCTGTAGAATCCAGTGATCGGAATCCAGACATATATCCAGAACAGAGAAGAACAGAGGTCCCACCTTTGACATGTCCTCCCATGGAAGAAAAAACTTTGTTCCAAAAATTTATTAAGAGACCAGCTAACCAAGTCCATAAAAATAAAAATATCCATAATTTTTGGTTTCGGATGAAAACGTAGGCTCCAAGCAGCAAAGCAGGGAAGATAAGGAAGAGCAGGAGAGAAGGAAAAAGCATATTACTCCTCTGAGAGCGAAACAAAAAAATGTAATGTATACATTTTTGATGCCTTCTAGATGAGTTTGGTTAGTTTCATGGAAAATGACATGGCTGAAAGTTTTGTAATGAAAACTGTCATCTGTAACTGCAATCTGTTTTCTTTAGCTTTGTTCCCATACTGTGATCATGCTAAAAACATTGTTTTTTTTAAGACGGCTTAAACTTTTGGGTTCATTTTCATACACTCAGAATGTTCCATCGATTAAAACTTTATCAGATGGTGGAATGGACTTAATGTGTTCTCTTTGACACATTTCACAGCAAACTGAAAGCTGGAGTTTATTATTCCTTCAATATCCGGACCTCATCTACACCACTTTCCTTTAATAACTATTTATTCTGCTTCTGTTTCCATCTGTGAACGTTTGTTCACTCACCGCGATTGATATTATTTTAGCGCTGATATCTACTATGTTGTAGTTAGCACTTGTAGCGTTAGCATAGCGTAACAAAGTGGTAGCACTGAGCCTGTGGTGTACGTCGTCACGCACTGATGTAAAGCACAGTGATTATTTTTCAAATTTCGTATCGCTGTTTATAAAACGTTTTCTATCACGATATTTATCGATAATGTACTAAGTTAGCACCTATTTTTGATATTGTTTTCTTTTATAAAAGAACAAATTTGCAAACTGACATACAATAAACATACAATACATACAATAAACAGTTACAAATTTTCTCTCATTCRTTTACAGGTAAGGCGTTACACTCTAAAATTCTTCTATGTGTTTGTCCATAGATTTTATATAGTTCACCATCAGCAGAAAAAAAAAATCCCTTGAGGGTCTCTTCATCATGCTGAAATTACCTGTTCATGTTTTGTGAGGCGTGTTTTATTGTGAATGTCAGAAGAAATCAGGCTGAATTGATGTTTTTCAGCCAGTAGCCTCAGTAAGATCACCACCGTCCGGCTGCCGCACTTCCCCACACGGTTATAAACCACCTGGCTGGGGAACTGGAGCACCTGCAGGCACACAAACACAACAAAAAAGCATTAAATTGATGACAAATGCTCGTGTTTTACTCTAATTGTGCTCCTTTTCGCTGTTCAAATGTGCCTTTTCTACTGCATGCTGTATTCAGTGGCAAAACATTTGTTTCTAAACAGCAATGAAAGCAAAAAAAAGTTGTGTGGAAACCCTTTGGGATCCCTTCGTTTCTCGAAGGAAATTTATCAGATCTTGGCTGGCTTCTCTATTTCCCCTGTTCATTATTCTGTTTTTCACATTTATTCTTCCTGGTCTGGACTCACTTGGCTTAACACACACGGCACGCACGCACGCACACACACACACACACACTCAGCAACTGAGCATGTACGTGCACGCTTCCATGTAGTTTCTTCATACGGTCATCACTCAACTGATCTTAGTGAGTCAGAGCTTTAACTGCAGAAAGAAACAGAAAGTCAGTCTAATTTCAATGTTTTTTTTAACATTAAAATACACACATACACACACACACACACACACACACACACACACACACACACACACACACCTCATGACTCACAAGTTCAACAAGCAGCTCTGCTGTGACTCAAAAAGCTAAAAAAAAGTGCTACTTCTGCTTGCGAGAGTGAGGAAGCTGAGCCCTTCATGCATACGGAACAAATGTGGTCATGTTAGCACAAGGCCAGCAGGAACACACTAATTCAGCAGTTATTCCTGAGGGTCCACAAAGTTTACACAAGTGGCCTTTTTGAAAGTGAAGGCTGAAGAAGCAAATTTACAAGAAGGGTGACAGAACGTCAGGGACTATGGATTATTGTAGATCATAACTTTGATTTTCTGTTACGGTAAAACTGCTTAGTTTCATTTTCTTAGCTKGTTCCTCCCGGAATGGAAGATTGACAGCATTGAAATTCTCCCCAAACAGTGACATTACCGACCAGCTACGTTGAAATGAAAACAATAATTTTTTTTTCTTACTTTAAATGGAGCAATTTTCAGATTTCAAATTAAGTTATAGTCATTTAAAACTCACAAAATGAATATAACCTCTTTTTTTTCTTTGGAGGAAAAGGGATAATAGTAGTTAAAAACAAAAAATGAACTAAAACAAAAGCTAAAAATCCCAGTGAAGTTTTAAAAAATTACAGCTAAACAGAAATCTATGCAATAGTGCATCCATCCATCCATCCATCCATCCATCCATCCATCCATCCATCCATCCATCCATCCATCCATCCATCCATCCATCCAGCCTGTTAGCTTTTGAATTATAGCACTTCGCTAACATTTTTAGCTTGGGAACACCATACTAAAATGGCCTTAGTTTGTACATTGCTAATGCTATATCGCCACATACACATGTTTAAGCTTTGCTGCTAACACTATATTGCCCTATATGGCAATATTAGCTTGAGCCTAGCTCAAAAGCTAACAGGCTAAACTGAGGTTCTCTTTTCTCTCTGTCAATACGCTCTCGTTTAATTTAAAGGGCTGATTGTCATTTATTGTCCAAGATTGATCTTCAGGGTATTTAAGCTTGCATAGCCTCACACTGGAACACTACATCATCAATTACCCAGTATGCCTTGCATCATTAATAAAATGATGCCTTCATTGTGACAATATATGTTTTTTTAATTCATAAAAACTTAACAGCCTACAGTATTATTACAGTCTTTATTTTACAGTTTAAATAAATGTTTATCAAATAACGTCTAATAATACAAGTAACCGTGGACCCCTTTAAGGCATGCTAGGTCTTCGATTCTATCTCTGGCTGGTATTTAAATGTTTTATTTTGGTAAAACTTCAGGTTGAAGACAGTTTCTTTTAAGCCCCTGGCGTTAAGATGCTGTTTCAACGACACCTTAGGTTTTATTGGGTAAAAGAAGCTTTCCAAAGTTGACAAAAAGCTTAGAAGACAGACATGCCTCAGTTTGTGTCTCTTACTGACGTCAAGCAACCTCATAGGCCAAAAAAAATATCTGTTGTACTCTGTAAAAAAGAAACTAAATAAATAAAAATCACAGTATCATCAGCAGCAGTGATTATATTTGTGTTGGGAAACAGTTTGGAGCAGATAGATGTTGTTCTTCTAAAGCTGTTTGACATTTTTCAGCATTTTGCCAAATACCGGCAGACAGCTCAGCTTGTGATGTTAACAAAATGGGTAAAATGCTGTATTTTTGCAGGACATTGTTCTGTGGCAGATATGACAAACGACTGTGTCAAACCTCAAATCAGTGGCTGCTGAGTTTCACTGGAACACCACCAGAGATGCCATAAAAAGTCTAAATCTCCTGTTGCCACAGACGGCACAAAAAAAGCAATCTTCCCTTTTCAAATTATTATTCATTCCATTAAAACTTTGGAAAAAATGTTGAGAGAAATGTCTGCAGTGTTTTCAAGTTTCAACATTAGATTTATAAAGTCAAAAGTATGTAGCAGAACTGATTTTAATGTCCTGATGCATCTCAGTAATCCAGGTAAAAAATCAAAAAGAAAAGAATTGTATAGGTCTTCTGGACGGGTTCTTCTTTRATGAAACGTTTCGTCTCTCCTCCAAGAGACTTCTTCAGTCTGAGAGTTTCAGGCAAAATTCAGGCTTTTAAGCCCTGCCTCCATGTGACTGATACTCACATCACATGGCTATCGTTGACACCTAATTAACACTTATTGTTAACAGGGGTGGAGTGATACTGGCAATGGCCGCGCTGTAGGAGGGGGACAGCTGAAAACGGAGGCCTCCACCTCTGTTTAATGATGGACGGTCTTTCTTCACAAAAATGGCTTCTTTTACTCCTCTCTCAAACCAACGTTCCTCTCTATCAAGAATGAGAACATCCTCATCTCTGAAAGAGTGACCGCTGGCCTGTAAATGAGTGAAAACTGCAGAGTTCTGGCCATTAGATGTAGCTCGTCTGTGTTGGGACATTCTTTTGAACAGTGGCTGCTTAGTTTCCCCGATTTTTTTTAAACTGATTTTAATTTTGCGTTAAGCTGTGTTCACACCAAACGCGTTTTGAGCAGCAAGAATGCGCCCAACACCTCAAGTTGGACGCACTACGTTCGGACCGGGACAGAGACTAGACGTGCGTCTAAAGAGGGAGGAATGTCTTGTTTTTCTTTTTCGGTCTATTTTTAATGGTGGATGAAATAAAGACTCGCATCGGTGCTTATATCTCCTGCCAGAACACCAACTCGAGTGTCGGCTGCTTTGGACGCGCCGCATGCATGGAAATACTCTACCGCAACCTATGGCTACATTTCGCATCGTGCTAAACGTGCCGGTCTGCCCCTAGATGTGCGTCCACCATAGACATGTAAACTGGCTGCTTCGGCTGCTAAAAACACGTCTGGTGTGTACCYGGCTTYAGACAAAYTGATGTAGTTTCRGTGTCTCTAATGCTGTCAAACATTAGAGCAAGAAAATCATTCCTTCCCTTTTTCTTTCCTTTGCTGTTCCTGTTCTCTCTGCATTTTTTGTAGCTCAGCCACACATTCAAAGCAAAGCTCTAGTTCCTAAAAGCCCACACCAGTTGAAGAACCAAAACAAAATTGTTTACATTTCAGTTAGTTCTGTCCTGGGGTCAGAGTTATCTCCTCTAAACTGTTCACCACATGTTGAGGAGTGAACGGCATGTTTCGGCTGAGGATGACAGATTATTCTAAGCATTTCCTGTTAATAATGAGATGAGAAAAAGCAAGGGAGTCTCTCAGAGTTTCTATGGTGAATGGCCTGAGCTTATACAGCGCTTTATCTGCCCTGGGGCACATTGACAGAGGCTATAAAAGTAAGAATATTGATTGATTGATTGATTTGGCTAAGACAAACATAAATCAGACCAATTAAACAAACAGATAATCTTGATCCAAATCCGAGGCCATGGTCTTGAGCCGGAAAAGGGTAGAGTGCCTTCTCCGGGTCAGGGGGGTTTGTCCTGCCTCAAGTGGAGGAGTTTAAGTATCTGGGGATCTTGTTCACGAATGGGGGAAGAAGGGAGCGGGAGATCGACAGGCGGATTGGAGCAGCGTCTGCTGTAAAGC